CCTGCTTTTACCCCAGGGCGGTCACCTCCCTCCCCCAGCCAGCTCCCCCATCGCACCGGGACTTGCCCCACAATTGCTCCTTTCCCCTCAAACTGCGCTGCGCCCCCTCCCCAGATTGCAGGGGGGCAGTTTCTGGGCATTCCCAATGGCAGGGGGCACAGCAACCAGCACTGACAAGTCCCGCTGTCACCGCCCTACCTGCTCCCAGGGACCACAGACAACCACCCCCCACCCTTAAGTTGCAGGGTTGAGACAGTGCCCAGGAGCCTCCGGGCATCACGGTCGCTGGGGGGCTGCACACCACCCGGGAGTCACAGGATTGCAGCTGCCGCCAGCACCCCACCACCCCAGGAGAATGGGGGAGACTCGGGGGTGGGGGGAGCCAGGAGCTCCCACCCCGTGCCCCAAGTGGGAGGGAGGGCGCAGCGGGATTAGTGCCGGGAATCTTCTCCCTGCACCAGACCATTTCCTTGCTTGGGATTTCTTTTTGGTGTCTCTGCCCACTTCAGCTAGGGCGGCTGGCAACATGGCGCAGGGCATTCTGGGACTAGTAGTGCAGCTACCAGCGCAGGTCCCAGGGCCCCAGTGGAACACAGCGGTGTGCAAACTACAACTCCCAGCATACCCTGCAACACCCAGTCCCTGTTGCATCTGCCCACAGTGCCAGGGGGTGAGGCCTAATAGCCAAGTGGGACTAAGGCCCACCTCAGCCCCACCCAGGAAGAGGCTGGTGCTGCAAGGAATCCGGGACAAACGCTGTTCCGGAGTCACTCAGCCCAGAATCAGGACTTGAACTCTGCATTTTGGGACTGTCCCGCCTAATTTGGGATGGGTGGTCACCCTCCCCCATCTTCTCCTCTAGTCAGATGGGGAAAAACCAGTTGTTAGCTTTGGCAAGGTTCCCCTTTTTTGCCTCACCCATCCCATCTTTCCCTTGGGAGTACTCTCTGTAAAGAGCTTAAAAAGTTTTCTGCTAAGGGTAATTGATTAGAGTTGGTCAGTTTCCCAGTGCCTAAAGCTGAGCTGGCTGCAGTCAGCTGATTGGTAGACTTCATTTCCTTCTAGAGTAAAGGTAAAACAAGCCCTTTACCCATGGAAAAAACTGAAGAGGGAAAAAACTAGTATTACTGTCAGTTTCTGGTTTCAGTGTGTAGAAGTTCTTGCTGCTGTCCATAGAGAGACCACTGGGAGAGAGGGGAGGAGCAAGAGGAGCATTGAAACAACAAAATAAAAATCATTAACAGAAAAATTCAAACTACAGAAAAAGTCTAAAGGAGTTTTAAAAAAAGGGAGCGGGGGAAGGGAAAAAACACAGAAAGGAGGACAGGAGAGAGGCAATAAAAAGGAGAGAATGCAGAGAGGAGGAAGGAGAGAAGTGAAGATGGGGAAAGGGAGAAGATGCCTTTTAGAATTTTTGCACTGGGTGTCACTGGCACACAAATACTGTTGCAGCCAGTGCCAAAGATTTCAAGGCATACTTGGGAGTAAGTGTGACCCCAGCCTGCAAACAGAGTAAACTGTACCAGTGGACTGCACTAGAGTAAACTTGTTTGCACTAGGGGGTTCCATCAGGGCAACGACACCAGTTAAAATCCAAGCTGCTGTATTTGAGGAGTACGGGGAACGGATAAATCTCAGCTTATGGCACTTGTGCACCTATACCCAACACAGCTAGCCCTTTTCATGCCCTTAACTTTTAGTTAGTATGTCGGGTTTCTTTGTTTTAATTATTAATACACTTGCTGACCTTCAGGAGAGCCAGATCCAGGAAGCATCTAATACCAAAAAGAGGAAACAGAAAGCCTTCTGTATCCTGGTGATCTGAAATCTGTGCCTAAGTGCATAGTTAGGACCCTGACTTCTTTCATGTACATGTCTTTAAGCACATTTCTCAGACCTGGCTTACGCAGAAACTTCTATGGTCTTCCAGATGTCTAGGACTATGCAGATTCCACAGCTCTGTCATTGACTATTACAGGCCTTGCCCCCCTGCACTTTTGTATAGAGCCGCTCCACTCCCTCTCAATCAGGGTCTTGCTCCAAGCTCTATCTGTTTAGGTATTACACAGCCCATGACAGCATGGTATCTATAATACAGGGCGAGGGGGGAGCAGAGCAAGCACAGAGCTGGAAGAAGATTAGACCCAGAGATGTAGGAGGAAAGTGAACAGCACTCTCACAGTAGGAAAGGGATCAGGGATCACAGATCGGGGGGAAGACGAGGGAGGAGACAATATGGTAGGTCACAGAACCTTTCTAGTGTTTAACTGATTACTTTGTGTGGGTAATTAACAAGTGACAAGGAAGGGCAGTTTTCATATTTTATTTTGTTACAATTAAATGCAAGTTCATTCCGCCCCCCCCCCCAACTATGCATACAGTACGTGCCAAATTAACTACTCTCCTCCACCCTAGTTGAAGGGAAGGGACTATAAAAATGACAAAACCGACCCTGCTTCATAAAAGGGGCATCCCATTTAAAAAGATGTGACAGGTGAGAGGTATGCACGCAGCATACGTGTACTGTACACCCAGTATAACTAAACAAATGTTTTCAGTCCCTTTCTGCTTGTTCAAGAAAAATCAGACTCTGCAAGTTTTGATACTTTGGTTATTGCTACCATTATCAAACCCTATAAGCAGGTCCTAATCCTACCTTCCTTCCATCCTTCCCCTCCTGTTTTCAATGGGATTACAGGTGCATATCCAAGGGCAGAATTTGGCCAGTAGCAAAACAATAAAGGCCTTTGTTTAGTTTGGGATAAAACGTTAATATTTCCTACTCCCATTAATGTCAGCAGGGGCCTTTGCATTGAGTTTACTGGTAGCTGAATCAAATCCTGACATGGCAGTGTTTATAATATGAAAAAAGTCTCTTTACACAGACGTTTGTTTTGTTGGTGTGTTTGGTGCGTTATTATGCTAGTTAATCATATGTCTTCCTAAAGGATAGTAAAACACTATCAAATAAAATATTTGTAAAGGATAGTATTGGTATTGTACACTAGCAATATATACGGTTTAAAACCTGAATTGTTATGCTAAAATGTATTCAGGTGTAGAATGACTGAACAACAGTAAACATTCAGCCAATACAACTGATGAAGAGTAGGGAGTAAAATAAAACAACAGATTAGGTAAAACTAACATGTGATAAGGTACACCTGCTAAAATGCACAGACCAGGACACACCAACTCAAAGCAGCACCAGATCCTCCCAAAACAACAGATGCAAAACCTGCAGACATATCTCCGCTGCTACGGTGATCAACACTCCCCACAACACAGCTTTCAAGATCCATGGATTCTACACATGCCCATCACAACATGTGTACCTCATTCAGTGCACTAAATGCCCCAATAACAACTACACCTCTATCCCGATATAACGCAACCCAATATAACACGAATTCGGATATAACGCGGTAAAGCAGCGCTCCAGGGGGGCAGGGCTGTGCACTCCAGTGGATCAAAGCAAGTTCGATATAACGCGGTTTCACCTGTAACGCGGTAAGATTTTTTGGCTCCTGAGGACAGCGTTATATCGGGGTAGAGGTGTACGTGAAACCAGACAATAATGAACTCTTGAATGAACTCACACAGGAAAATGATAAAAGACAAAAACATCCTATTGCCTGTGGGTGAGCACTCTTCACAAAACCATCACTCCATAGCTGGCCTATCGGTTCTCATCCTCAAAGGAAACCTGCACAACATTTTCAAAAAAGATAAGCCTGGCGCTTAAATGCATATCTCTGCTAGACACCAAAAATCATGGACAGAACTGAGACACTAGATTTATAGTTTACTCCAACGATCTGTAATCCATTAACCCCCCTCCCCTTTTGTCCTATGACTACAGAGGTGTTAACGGGCCACTTCAACCTTGAATGCAATCTGATCCACTTTGTATTTAGCTGGGACACGCTGAGTACCTTTCCCAGACCTGAAGACGAGCTCTCTGTCAGCTCAAAAGCTTGTCTCTCTAGCCAACAGAAGTTGGTCAACCCACATTGTCTCTCTAACATCCTGGGACTAACACAGCTACAACTACATTGCACAGGACAGATAAGGCAGTGTACATTTTAACACATACAAGCTGATTGAGTGAGAAGCCTCCCGGGAACCTTAGGATACTTCCCAGCATGGGTAGATGGACACACACTGGTTTTGCTCAAGCAAGCATGCTAAAAATAACAGCGTGGCTGCTATGACATGGGCAGTGGCTCAGGCTAGCCACCCAAGTATAATCCTGCCTGACCCCCTGGGTCTGGACTCAGATGGCTTCCCTGAGCCACTGCGTATGCCATCACGGCCACACTGTTAATTTTAGTGTGCTACACATCTGTCTCCCCAAGAGGAGAAATACCCTCCCAGCTGCTGTGTAGAGACCCCCTCAGGGAGCATGAGCTTATCACATGTTAAGGGCAATGTACTTTGTCTACACTAGATTTAAAATGGGCTAGTTTGCACATGTTGGCCAATACATGCTAACATCATTGCTTTAAATCCTAGCCTAGTCCAGCCCAAAGAGACAGAAGGGACAGGCAAGTACCATACTCTGGGTTTGAGTGGAAAACTTGATTTTAGAAACACAAACACAGATCTCCAAGGACTAAGGCTGCGGCACAACTGTCAACACCCTGCTGGTGAGAACTTATTTTTCCCCTCACTTTTTATACCTGGTGATTGCAACATGTCCCGTCCCCAAAGTAGTATGAAGCACATATGGCAACTCACCAAAGCAGAATGCTCCTCTCCCTCCCACCTACTACTGGGAAAGCAAGTAGAGGAAGCTACCTTAGAGAGTAAGTTTTTTCCTCTGAAGCTTAGTTTCAGATTTACCTATTTGCAGAAGGAGACATTTTATAACTGTGAAAAAGAAAAGCTTGATACAGGCTATAATAAAATGGGGGCCTTCCCAGATATCAAAACACCTCCCAAACCCAGCCTTAGTAGCAAGCATCTTTACAAAGAAGAAACAAGGCAGAAATACTTACACCCAGTAAAGCAGCATCAGCAGGAAAGGGCAGATGATGACCGCCTGGAGAACTTGCCAGTCCCTGCAGAGGGCAGCCAGACCTGGCATGAGGAACTGTCCTGCCATTGCAATGAAGCTTGCCACCATGGTGACCATGAACCGGTGCCCAGGAGGACAGAGTTCTATTCCTGAAACAAAAAGGCACATGCAAAATTTGAAGGTCAATGCAAGGAAAATTTTTTTTGTTATCCATAATGACAGAGGAGCTCATTAATCGTTTATTAAGGCACTGGAGCCAATGTACTCCCATCAATCACAATTTTTTCTATTTGATTTACGAAGTGGATACAATAGTCCTTTTAGTAAGGATTTCACTCAGTCTCTGGCTCAAGAAAATATTTTACTGAAGACTTATGGCAAGTAAAAGCTTACATGTGTCCCAAAGATTTAGGGGCCAATCCTGCAAGATGCTGAAAAAAGCCCAGAGGTGCCAAGTGCCTTCAATTCCCATTGAATTTCATGGGAGTTGCGAGTGCTTGGCACTTTGCAGGATCTAGCCCTCCAGTCACTATGGAAAGCCACCTTCCTCCAAATGTATCATGCTAGTACTCAATCCCATTTTAAATTGGACTTTTCGGAGCTGTTTTCCCCTCCCCCCATAGGGGATCTCACTCAGCTTTCAGCAAGACAGCTTCCCATCTGTCCCTTTCTTCCCTCTTCAGTGAAATCCATCACCACTGCCATCATCAGTAATCTCAGCAGCCCTGATGGCAAAGGGGTGGTTGATAAAACTCCTTAAAATCCCTCGGTCCTGGATAGTCACCCACTAAGACTTAGAAATGAAGCTGGATCTAGCGGAATCACATTTTCAAAAGCAACAGAAACGTAGCAATAAAACTGGTTCAGATCCTACAACTACATCCTAATGTTGATGGATTTTTTTCCCAGCTAGAGCTACAGTGGCACCCTGCAACCTACACTTTCTGCTTGTCTACATCCACTTCCATGGGTTAATCTTGAGGCATAACAAGCTTGCCACAAATACTTACTGTGCAGCCCTTATCTGCAAGTGGAAACAGATACATAGGCTAGAAAAATGTCTGTCACCATGATAGCATTGACAAAGGCAATGTGCTTTTCCTTGGAACTCTGCCAGTTATTTTGTTGTTAAAATGATGATTAAATGATTAAGAGAATGGATAATGGAAAGCCGGGGTAAGGGGAGAGGAGGAAGATAAGTTGTCTTCATCAGAGGCCAAGTTGTATGTGGGATGGGGATTTGAGCAGAATGTTTATCACATTGTTCAAGGCTAGCAGGTTATTGCTGGAACAGGAACGTTGCCAGCCAATACAAAGGAAAATGTATCTGTAGTGAAGCAGTCAAAATTTTCATTATCCTAGCAACAAACAAACCACAATCCAGCTCTGGCAGGGGGAGGAGGGGAAATAAACTGTTGCATATAAAAAGGCTTTCACAGTTTAATTAGTAAAACAAGATTAAACACAGAGCTCCCATCCCATTAATATGGCATCATTCCTAGTAATGAAGTACACTGAGTTTAACCAATTCCATTTTTTCTTGGTAGGGAGGTGTCCTCCAAGTTCTGTTTTTATAGCCTTCAAGCATAAAGCTATTTTGTTTTTTAAATTAAACATCATAGTCACTCACACTCCAGTATTCTTTCAGTAAGTACTAGATTTGTTGCTATAGAAACAAAAAAATCTGCATTAGACAGGTGCAAGTTCAGCTTTCCAATGGCTGAGCTTTGGTTAGTGTCAGTTATGAAAAGTTGCAGACAAGATCAAGTTTTTTATGAAGTCAGAAAGATGTGTCAAAATTGTATAATTGCGTTTTTGAGTCAATGGTGCATAATAGATGTAATAGTCCATTTGCAGTAATTATTGATTGTATAAAAAAAGCAAAGAACTTCAGAGAAGAAAACAGAAACAAAACAATCGCTGGGCTATCATATATGTATGATCAAGTTTTCCCACTTTTCTGGAGAAGATGAAAAATTGCCATAGTTACTGGATTAGCATGACTTTCAAGAAAAGTTAGCAGAAACTCAATGTGTCTATTAAATACAGCATCACTAATGCAAAATAATATACATTAGATCAGTCTCTTGACTTCCCAAAGATCTGCAGCACCAGTCTTAAAAGATACAAGAAGCTACAATCGCAGTTCTCAGCAGACACCTGGCAGACCAGCATTCTTGACCTTGTCAACAAGGCAATCTAAGCATCAGTGTGTCAAAGAGAAGGGCTCTCACAATACTGCACTGATATCTGACACTGTGATGCATATAAGACCCTTCAGCCCACACAGGGCCCCACTGACTTCATGTGGCTCCATGCAGACTCCGGGGTATGCCCACACACATCCATTGCAGTATGGAGGTCTAACTTACCCCATCCATAGTATGAAAGTATAACAAAACTTAGGTTTCTCCCATTCAATTAAGAGTTTCCCAACCTATTCCTTTGGGGGAGGAGTTCTATGTAGCCTGTTCCCATTAATTCAAACTAAAGAAAGTCACTGTAATCACCCCCCACCCATACACACACCCCTTTTGTTTTTGGCCACATACAAAATCTAAATGTCCTTCAAGCCTGTCTTCTGGCCTCTTTCTGGCATTTGCTGTTCCTGGCTTCTTTTATTCCTGACACCTGCGTTTCTCCTCTTGGCCTGGGGAAGAGGGAAGGGGACCCAGACCCACCCTCTCCTCTGGATTCCCCCTCCCCAGGAACACTGTTTAGACGGCTACCGATCATTCCTTCAGTCCCTTCACCATTTTCCCTTGGCTGCTCTCACCTTTACCACTCTCATCAGTATCTTTACAAGATCTGCAGATTCTGCTGCCCTGCCCTGAC